CAGAGCCTTAACCAGCCAGCCCCTGCCCAGCTGCCCCCCCAGGGCGCGCAGCTGCAGGCGCTGTGGCAACCCCTTCCTGGGGTCCGGAGAGGGCTGGGAGGGGGTGCGGTGGGGCGGAGCTCGGGGTCCTGCTGTTGCCGCCTTGGCCGCTGCCTCTGCACTGCCCTGCGAGGACAGACGGGTGCTCCCCGGGCCTGACGGAGGAGCAGCCCGGGCCCTGGTCTCCCACCTCCGATTTGGCGCTGTGCCGGGTGGTGGCGACTGCAGCCTGGCGGTGGGGGCAATTTGCTTATGGGGTATATCATGTTTATTGATTTGCGCATACTGCACCATCCTTGCATTTCCAGAATAAATCCGGGCCAGCCGCGCGGAGAAGAGCCGGGCGAGAGGCAGGTAGACAACCGATCCCGGGCCGCGGGAGGAGACGCCCCCCACCCTGCACCCCCTCTGCCCAGTGCCCAACCCCGGGGGACCGGACCGAACCGGAGCGGAGGTGTGCTTGGCACTGACGGGGGGGTTGACTCGGTCCCACATTGCCCTGGTGATCTTTTGCCTGTTGCTCTCGTCCCCATCCCATTCTGCGCTCCGGGAGGGTCTGCTTTTCTCCCAGGTGATGAATTTCTCTGCAAGGTCATTGCTCCCTTAGGCTCTGACTCTGAAGGTAAATGGGAAAAGGCGCTGCAGTTCTTGTTCTTGGGCGGGGGGATTTATAATCAATGGGTCTGCACACTGTGAATATCCCAGTAGGTAGAGGTGGGGTGTGTGTGTGTGTGTGTGTGTGTGTGTGTGTGTGTGTACTACACTGACATGTTTCTTATTTTCCTGCGCTTATTCTCTTTAAGGTCAAAACACTGTTGTTGTACATAAAACATATGCATTTGTGTGTGTGTATACAGACACCTTTACATATATATTGTCTTTCTTGAGATAGGCTGAGAGAGAAGAAGAAGGGCGGGCAGAGGTTGATAAAAGGGAAATCACTGTAGAGACCTGTTCAGTGTCTAGAGGTGAACTTTGGAACCAGATTAAATCAGGGTAGAGACTAGAGGCTATAAATGGCTCTTTGGAGATGGATTTTAGAAAAGAGCTAAAGAACAACTGTCAACGGTACACACAACACATCTTCATGTTATCCAGGCAGATCTGAAAGATACAGGCAAATTTCAGACTCCACAATGGGCCGTGAAAGGGGAGCGGGGAAAGAGGGTACTTAGACATTGGAAAGTGAATTTGGGGGGCTGGGAAGGCAGCAAGTCCCTGGCAGGTTTAAAGGGCCTTGGGGGGGGGGGGCACTCGAGAAATCGCTGCTCCGAACGTAGGCAGTTCAAGGTGAAGACGATGTGAATGCCCAGCAAGCAGCAGAGGCGGTGGGGAAAGGGCGAGCGGGGGTTTGGAGGAGGAGGGGAGAACTGAAGCTCTGAGAGTCACCTAGAAGCAACCACCATGTATCAAGGCATCTCTTTCTTCGTGTTAAATCAATACCTTGGGTATGGTCCATCTAAAAATTTTTCACGAGACATTAAAGACCCATTGGTCCATGTTTGCATTTTGTTTTTGCAAGGAATCTGGGTCATGGTGGGACTGGAAGTAACTGAAGTGTTTACAACACCAGCAAGATTTGGAGAGAGACGGTTGATTAAGGCCTAGCTTCATGAAATATTTACACATCTGTTACGTGGGCTTTTGTTTGCTCTTGTTGGTGCTGCTGCATATTTCACTGTGATAATGATTTGAGTGGACTTCTCCCAATGTCCTTATTTTCCAGTTATAAACTATTGTTTCTTTCCCATTGTGTTCACCATTGGCCTGCCCTGAGTAACAACTGTGGGAATAAAGATACATGAGTCACAGCATAGAGGCAAAAAATATTTTCTGTTGCTATCTGCAAATGGCAATAGTTTGTATGATAGAATGTTCTTTTGAAGTAGAATCATAGAGAATATTTTTTTAAGGGTTTGTGGGTTTTTTAGTAGGGGGAATAGGTTGTTGATTCATAAACAGAAAAATAAGTAGTCAGTGCCATTGCAGGTCTAGATGTTATTTCATTGGAATTTATTTTGGAAACAGCGCGGAGGAAGTCGTAGAGACCCGTGTAGAGTGTGTTGTGGTGTGGTGAGGCTTTACCTAATCACTAACTGGCCTTTCATGGAAATGACAAGGACAGAAATCTGAGGTGCATAGCCGCCTATGGAGGATTGAAGTGGAGGCTTGAAGCAAGATATGAATCAGATCAATCTGTGTCGGAGGTCAGGTGGGTTCCAACTCGCTGTTTTTAAAACTTGGGTATTTTTTCATTGCCTCAGTATACTTACCCTTTACATTTAATTTAAGAAATGCTGCAGGGACAAATTTAATTATTTGACTGTGCCTCAAATATACATGAAAGAATATATTAGATACAGCTCTCCTTCACTGTATGGATTTTCAGTCATAAAACCTGCAGCGTATCGGGAATATCGTTCATGGAACCACAAAGTCATAAAAAGATTGGCCTCAGAGAGTCCAGACATGCAATTCCAGTCCCAGCTCACACTTGCACTCGTTCAGTGGCCGCTGTTTCTACCCTTTATATGCTCATTCATTGATTCAGTCATGCATTCAGCATACATTTCTCCTGAACTAAACAGGGTCCTGAATTGTGGGATTGAAGAGTGAACGAGACACAGTCTCAGCCAGCAAGCCTTGGGAGAGAGCGGGTAAAGCGAGTTAAGTGCTATGTCAGGGCGAGCACAGGGTGGAGGTGGAGAGGACAAGGACAGTTCCCAAGGACCTGAAGAATAAGAGGAACTAGTCTGGTAAAGAGGAGGGAGAAGGGCAGTCCTGGTACAGTGACCCAATATGCAGACCCCCAGGAAGCACAGGTAACTCTAGGTCAGTGGTTCTGAACCTTCTGGCCCTTTAAATACAGTTCCTCATGTTGTGACCCAACCATAAAATTATTTTCATTGCTACTTCATAACTGTAATGTTGCTACTGTTATGAATCATAATGTAAATATCTGATATGCAGGATGATCTTAGGTGACCCCTGTGAAAGGGTCATTCGACCGCCAAAGGGGTCATGACCCACAGGTTGAGAACCGCTTCTCTAGGTAGTTGAAAAGCTGTGAGAAGGTAAAGACTGGAAGATGCAGATAGAGAAGGGAGCACATCATCTTCAGGGTGAAGTCCAGAAGAACCGCTAACTCATCTGTTCAGTCCATCATTTGATCCGGAGAAGTTAGGTAAATGCATTCATATCAAGGCTCTCTGTTCACATTACCCAAGTTTATATGCTTCAAATATCTAGAAACTATATTTACCTTAATTTATAAAAGTCTGATTAAAAGGGAAATGTGTCCTTAAGAAAATCACAATTTTCTCTGCCTCCATTTTTTCATCTATAAAATATCTACTACCTACTTTGCATACTGTGAAAATGAAAAAGAATGAGAGAATGAAGCTTTGATTTTTATAGAAGTGAGTTTTATAGAAATCCAGGGAATCTTATTTTTATAACAACAGTGCTCAGGGCAAAAGGATAAAAAAGTATCTGTATGTTCCAAGCATTTCACTGTCCCAGATGATTCCAAAAGAGAAACTGAATGAACAAAAATGTAACTTAGGAACACAGGCAAAAGAAACCTCAAAGGCCACATGCAATTTAAAGTTATTTTTTTAAAGTGAGGGAAACATATACAATGCTCCCATAGTAATCAATAAGTGCCCTTCTAGAAATAGTCACAACCCATTGTGAAGTCAGTTTACTGTGTATGATAGCATTTTATTTTCAAAACATAAAGTAAAACAGAATAGAAGGATAAAGTTCATTGAACGTTTAAATTAAATATACAGTGGGGCCTTGACACGAGTTTAATTCGTTCGGTGATGGAGCTCGTAACTCAAATTACTCGTATGTAAAATCAAAAAGTGAACGAGTGAGACACGTGATGCTGGGCTGATGTTGTGGTGGTCACTGTGACGTTCGCTGCACCAACTAGCGGTGGGGTATCTGAAGCTGGCTCATAACCCAAATTTTAGCTCGCAACTTAAAGCAAAAAATCGGCCTAGAGACGGCTCGTATTTCGAAAAACTCGTTAGTCGGGACACTCGTAAGTCAAGGCCCCACTGTATATTTATATGTATGAACACACTACCAGCCGTGGGCAAACTACGGCCTGCGGGCCGGATCCGGCCCATTTGAAATGAATAAAACTAAAAAAGAAAAAAAAGACCGTACCCTTTTATGTAATGATGTTTACTTTGAATTTATATTAGTTCACATAAACACTCCATCCATGCTTTTGTTCCGGCCCGCCGGTCCAGTTTAAGAACCCATTGTGGCCCTTGAGTCAAAAAGTTTGCCCACCCCTGCACTAGACCATGATGCAAAAATGTGTATCTTATTATGCATCATGTTCCAAAAAAATCTAAAATTAGCTACTGCTTTCAGTGGATTAAAAAACAGATGCTTCCAGTTTGCAAGACCCCAAGAGTCAACTAGAAGATTGGATACATAAGCATTTATACAAAATTCTGAATAGTAGAATTGTTGGGAGAAAGGCAAGACATTATGACTTACCAGTAGATTCATGGCAGTAAAGTTAGAGACTGAGAACCTTGGGGACTGAATTAGTCTAGAGAGCTTCAAGGAGGAGGTAGACCTTGAGCTAGTTTATAGAAGATGGACAGGTCTGGGTGGGCGGTGAGGAAGAGTTGATGATATAGAAGAAGGAAGTAAAGAATGAGGTGGCATAATGTGAGGCTTGTTTAAGAATCATCTAGGGCCGTGGCCAGGTAGTTCAGTTGGTTAGAGAGTTGTCTGGATACACCAACATTGCAGGTTCGATTTCTGGTCAGGGCACATAGAAGAATCAAGCAATGAATGCATAAATAAGAGGAACAACAAATCAATGTCTCTCTCTAAAAATTTTTTTAAAATCATTTAGAAAATAAAAAATGAATATCAAATTATGGGGAGAGAATTGCAGCAGAATTTTTATTCAGACTAAAATATTACTCAAGAGTTGCTATTTATTTTATATCTAAGATTTCTTTTCCTAATACATCTACTCTAAGAAAATCTGGACAGAATGGCCATAACATCATAAATCTGTCATTTCCTGCCATCTTTTTATTTCCTTCACAATAATTTCCAGGCTTGGCCTGTTTCAGCTGAATTTAACGGTTGAACTATTGAAATTATGTGATGCACCATATTGTAGCATGATTAGTTCATTTCTTAGAACACAAGTACAATCTTTAGCACAGGGGGCAAGGGTGATCGAGTTTTAACTGAGCAAATCCTTCAACAAGTCTCCTTTTTTTGTGAAAGCCATTTTTTTAAATTTTAAACCTTAAGGTTTGAACCATGTTTTTAAACAAAAGTTAATTTTTTTTTTGCAATTCAACTGA